GGGTTTTAAGATAAGACACATTCTTTAACGTGTAGCCGATAATGACGCATAGTTGATTCATAGAGGGTTACATTATTGTCCATAGCATGGCTTTGTTTCGTAAATATAAAATAGTCTGTTATTTGCCTCGAAAGGGTTCACTTCGAGTTATTGTTTTCGTTAATAAATATATTTTGTTATTCATATCGTGTTTAAATAATCGAATCATTATACAAAAGCAAAAAAAAAATCTACCGGACAAAAGTGTTATAGCTAAAATGCGTAACTGGCTTCCATATACATTTAAACAAATTAATACTCTAAACAAATTTAAGAGAGATTTAAAACAATTTATTTTTCAAGCTTCGAGAGAAACAATCACAATTTTTTTACTTAATTGTTTATCGGATCTCTATTTTTCTGAATTTTTATTTTTTATTTAAATATATTTTTTATATTACAATTTTTATTAATTATATTAAAATTCTTTTAATTATTATCATTACTATTTTACGCGCCTCTTTATACATGTATTTATTTATTTATTTATTTATTTATTTTTTCTTTTTTTGTACTCATGCACAGGCCCTGCCTATAGTGAAGTATCCTTTTATTTACTGCTGAATTTATGTTATAATTATGTAAACACTTGTAAATTTCTAATTGGTAAATACATTTATTATTATTATTATTATTAATATAATGTGTTTCTTCATTTTAATAATATATATTAAATTTTTGGATTAATTACAGATTACTACCCAGACAGCACACCAAATCCTTTGGATATCTACTGAACATCCCAATATCCACTGAATGTCCAGTCCATGGTGGATATCTATTTTATATCCATGAGATGTAATTTATACACATGCAAATGTCCATAAATAATAGTAATTATATAGCAAATTATTACCGTATAGTACCGTTCAGATATTTAAAATTAATTTTTTTAAGGTGTATTCAATATTCCATGGACATCCACTAAATAATCAAAGCCTTGGCGCGAACGCAAACCATCGTGGATATCCACTAGATGGCGATACCACTATCGCATCTACTCATGCTTAACCCGCCGTAATTGAGTTCGATCGAAATTTGTTTCCCAATCAGACTCCATTAGAGACTGGAGTCGAGAATTTCCATTTATTGCTAAAGAGTCCTAATAAGGATGACTTTCTCCTTAGTGGGCAAAATCAAAGGCAGTGTTGAAAATATTTTGAGTGTTGAAAATATTTTTTATCTCTGCTATTTTCTTTTGACGTTATTCAATAATCATTGGTTACTTTTATGAACCTCTACTAAAGATACCCATAAAATATTTTGCTGAATATCCGAATTCTTCTATATCCTGGGATATAGACGGACATTTGGTTGGATGTCCATATTGGATATCCACAAAATATATTCTGTGGATATCTCTGGGATTTCTTGTTTTGTCTGGAAGATACCCATTAGATATTTTGCTGGATAATCCATAGGATATCTTCTATATTCTTGATATAGACGGACATTTGGATATCCATATTAGATCCACGGACTATTTCTGATATCCTGTGGATATATTGGATATCCACAAAAGATATTCTGTGGATATCTCTGGGATTTGGTTGTTGTCTGGGTAGGTTTATCAAGGAAAAATGTTATATTATGTAATTATAGAAAATATGTATTGATTCAAAAAATATTAATAACACACCATTTATAATGGAATTTTATTTGACTATTAAGTGAATAATTTTGGACTCACAAACTTTCATTTTTAAAAATTGCGTATTAAAAATTTACCATAGGTAGGTTTTTAGCAGTATAATTACTGAGGCCCTTCCTTAGTATTGCATTCGTGCAGACGAAAAAATTTTCTTATCCCCCATTTTTTAAATCCTTCTAGTATACGACCTTAATTTGATGTGGGATTAAAGTAAGGTAATTTAGTTTTTAAATACATTCCTAGCCATACTTAAGTGTTTTAAATTTGATAATCATTCATTCGTTTCGTTTTCAAATGGTCACCCTGTATAATATGTCAATTTAACGTAATAGATATAATTTACATAACATGCAGTATAGAATTATTACCACTAATGTCTCTATACTTGGAACACAAACATCCAAACGTGTATTTTTCTACTAAAAATATGTTGGTATCGCCATCTGCTGTAAAATAGAAAAAGTAATAACAAACAATCAATACCTAATGAAGTTTTCTATATTATTTTAATTCACAAGTTTGGTAGCTAACAAGGAGATGGGGCCACATATTTTGAAAGTAAATAATTGTAGAAAACTTATTTGGGTATTTTGAATCATTACACGATTATACAGGGTAAACTTCCTAAAAGTAAAAGGATATGTGGCACGAGAAAATAGAACATTTAAATTAGTGGACGTGCAACGTTACCTACAAGAAGCCATTCAAAATGTTTCTGCAGAAGACTGGAAGAAATGCATTCAGCGTGTTTTAAAAGAAGAGCAAAAAATGTGGGACGTAGACAACCGACAACCGTATTGAACACAATATTGAACCAATCATAATTAACTTTGATGATAGCGGTAGCAGCAGTGACGAATCTGAGGTTGAAGATTAGAAGAAAATTTGTACACAAAAAGAAATCTATATATTTAGGTATAATTTTTATTTTTACCATTCACTATTACCATTTAGAAATTATTATACAAATTTGTATTTTTAATTCCTGTACACAGACATGAACAATGTCTCAGTAGGATACAAATGTTTATTTATTTAATTATTATTATTGTATCAACTTGTACATTGTTACATAAATTTGAAATAAACATTATTATTATTATTATTATTATGTTTGGCGGTCAAGAAAACATAATTCTGTAGGTTATATCCAAACTAATTATCTTACTTAGGGATTTCCGAAATGATAGGTGCGTGTAAACTTTTATGATTTAAGTACCAATCAAATAGTAATTTAAGCGTTATAATGTCTTTTAATGTTGGCCGAACCCAATTAGGGTTTCTTGGGTAAGGCTGGCTAGTTTCGAGAAACTGCAGGTAAACCGGGAGAGAGAGATATATATATATAGAGGTATGCTTTATTGTCATTGAAAAATTATAAAAATTTTATAGACAAAGCGAAGTAAATTAAAAACTAAATATAATATAAAAAGATTAAAAAATATAAAAATTTAAAAATAACTAAACAAAACAAAATAAAAATATCAATTGCATTGGATATGCAATATCCGTCATTATGATTTTAATTTAAAATTTAAGTAATACTTCTGTATGTGTAACCCAAGAAGAAACTTAAGAGACAGTTCCTTACTGACTTCGGCCGCGACATAATATATAAATATACGTTAATTTGTGAAATAAAGTTAAATTCATTATTAAAATAGTAAAATTGATAATATTGTTTCTGTCACCAAACCAACCCCTGATTAGGTATCTTTCTTATTTTTAATTTGAAATATATATTGTGATTTTTATTAATATTCTTAATTTATTTGGTTCCTACTATAATTACCACAATTATTACTCCGTTTTCATAAAGCCCCACTAATGACTACAACGATTAGGTAAATTACGATATTGCAAAGTTTTCATGAAATAAATAAAAGAAATTGTATGAATATTTTAAATAATTGTACCCTCTCAAAAATAATAAGCACGCCTCCGATTTGGTCGTATTTCTACCTGCTTTCACTCTCAATCATTATTTGTTTGAGTATAAGTCGATATATTTTTATATATAAGTTATTCAAATAAACAACTTCTTTAAAAAGACTTACTGGTCCGGTTGGACAGATCTATGGATGCGCAAATTTTTTAAAACATCGATATTGATATCAAATGATACATCAAATACAGACTAACGATACTGTGAAAAAATCGAAAAGTAAACATCGATTTTTTTCAAAAACATCGCTGAAGAACAAAAAAAGGTCTTCAGACCATCAATTAAAACGTAAAGTTCAGAGAAAAGGTTAACAAACATCGAAAAAGAAATCATCGATCTTAACTAATAACATGGATAGCTATTCACTAAGTCATGGGAGCGCTCCCATGGGAGTGCTCCCATATATTTTGCTCTCTTACTCTTACACTTTTACTTACTCTTACACTTTTAGCCCAGGTACATGCTTAGTAAGGTCAGATTTTATACTATGGGAGGGAGAATTGCGGGCTTGTCAGATTAGGTCCGTATTTATCACAAAGCAAATTTGAATTACTAAGGGCTGATTCCACCGTTGAGTTAAACGGAGATTAAAATGACATTGTTAATGTAAAAATGTCATTTTAAACTACGTTTAACACAACGGTGGATCGGTCCTTAAATAGTAGATTAAAGTTATTCTGTCGACTTGGCAACGTTGGCATGGGAGTATGGGAGCATGGGAGTGTGGGAGTGCTCCCATGAGTTGGAGAATAGGTATCCGGATAAAAACAACAAGTTATTAACGTTAACTAATAACATTGAAAAAAAAAACATTGATAATCGAAACCGAAAAATCGATATTTATTGATACATCGTGCGCATCTCTAGATAGATCCATTTAATCAAGAAAGTAATGTCTAAAAACTCTAAAGAACCTCTCGCTAATGAGAGGCACGAATTTGGATTTTTTAAACCCCTTTTTTTTCTTGTATGGCTATTGAGATCACCAGAAATAAATCTTTACCATTTGTTCTTCATATTTTTGAGTTTTTTTGAATAAATTATTTAAAAAAACTGTACTAGAGTTATTCACTATAATACACAAATACTGGTGTGTTTTTTAGACCAAATTTCGCGCTATCTTCGCATGACGTAACATGGCACATTGCAAACAACTTTTCATTCTCTTTTAGATAAGGATAAGGATGGACGAAACAATGATAAAAGGTTTATTTTTAAAGATTTTGGAGAAGAGTTAAAACTGTTTTGCATATTTTTTATTTTTTGATTTGATGTGTCGTGATATCGTGTGAGAAGAACTTACGCAGAAACATACCAAAGACTATAAACTTGATGTAAACTATTATTCTTGCTATCATCTTGATTTTTGATACCTATAACGAAAATGTCAAAAATGACAGTTTCTTAATAGCTATGAGGTTATTTCTTCAAAAATGAAAACAAGGTATATTTAATACGCTAAAAGGTACGTAGATTCTTGTTAATAATATACTTTGTATGTAGTAAAAGTTTAGGGAATAATAAGAAAAATATAATTTAACTGTTTGGTTAGATATAACAAAAAAAATATCGGACCTAATCAAAACTACAGGCTACCTTCGGTAATATTTTAACCTGAAATACATGAAAAAACATCTATAACTTTAATATTAAAAAAAAATCAATAATTGAGTAGATATAACGGTCAGAAAATAATAAATGTGCTTCTATAAGTGCCTACAATATTTTAATATACTATTATACTGATAAAGATAATAAATGTTTCTCAAATTGAGTTGATATTCAAAAATATCCAGCAAAATATTTTATCTTTAATTTTTTTATCAGAAAACGTGGTTTTATTAAAGAACAGTTAAATTTCGATTATCACAAGATTGATGAGGACAAGCTGTTCTAAAAAATATACAAATAAAATGATCTCTAATTTCCAACGGGTAAGAAATCTGATTATTTTAAAATACATCAAAATTGGCGATATAATTTAGTGTCCTCTCCTATTTTTAAAAAACATTTAACTTTAAATTATCTAGATTACCACATCATTAATTGTTTACAATAGTGCCGCAATGATAGCCAAGTCAATTTCAAATTAATAATAAGCAAGCCAAAGGGGATAGAGGAGCAATATATGAATAACGAATTAAAGGCTTCTTTAAAACCTCTCACTATCCCAAAGCCTTATTCAGTGCACAGACTTTTATAGAAAAGAAAAGGTTATATATTTTATCTCCAATGGCTTCATAGCCCCTCGTCAAGCTTTATTTAGTCTTCGGTTACCATTTTAAGGATTTTTGTTTTAGTTATGCACACTACTAGTAGTTCAAAGAAATTCTTTGGCTGTCCATCATTCACGGAACTTGTCCAGAAAGGCGTGGCAAATTTGGAAGCGTTCGTTTTTAATTACATCGCACCTAGGAATCCGAATTTTATTTATTTTCTTAAATCGTGTATCCTATTCTTTTTTGGAACGTTCATTCCTGGATACGTGTTTATGGTAGTCGAAGGTAAGTTTTTGTTTTTATTTGTTATTTTCTAATAAGCGTTGTATTGCATTTGATTTAAATAGATCTGTCATAAATTTTACCTTAACTAAAATAGACTAGATGCCTAAAACTAAGCAATCAGTCATTAGCGTTCTCCTGGTATATTTTTTTCTTTACTTGTGCTAAAACTTTTTTTTGTACTTCTTTTTATTACATGCTAGTCGATTACTCATAAAAGAGCAATTTGTTTTGCACTGATAATATTGATTAGCTGCCAATTAACCAGTACATATTTTATATTTAACAACTAACTCTTTTCTTCTTGAGCTCTTTCCATCCAAGCTTTGTCTCTAAATTCATTCCTAGTTACTTGGCCACATTTTAAAATATTTGGGACCATGATCTTTTTGGAAGGGTTTTTAATTGCCTTAATTTCTGTAAAGTACTATTATTACATTAAATTTGATAGATAAAACGTTATTTTGTTTTGAAGGACGGCTGGAAAAAGAATTCAAACAAAAAACCTACCCGCAGTTCAAAACCAGCTTGATTAAATCAATGTACGAGTCCATAGACAATGAAACAGAATTTCGAAACGTGTTAGCTAGTTATGAATCCCAAATTGCGCAGTACTTTCAACTGTACCCTTTGATTATGCTCAACTTGGAGGAGCACATCTGGGACCTTTGGACTGGATTTTTTTATTCATATACTGTTTATACTACTTTAGGTGAGATCAAAAGATTCCACACTTTTTTGATTATTAAATCATTATACAGTATGTCCCCCTAGGTTTGAATCATGAAAAACATTATTATTAATTTTAAGAAAAAAATTTGTTCTTTATAAAAAGTCGAGCATAGTCTAGAACCTAAAATACAACCATCAAATAACAAATTTTATCGGTCGTATAAAGAGTAAACGTACTTTACTCTTAAGTAAAACTCATATTTTTTGACAAACCTCGTATACCACTGAAAAAATTTGATATTTGATGACTGCATTCTATGTTTTAGATAATGCAGAACTTCTTATAAAGAATAACTTTTTTTCCTAAAATAATAATAAAAAAGTTTTCCATATGATTCCAACTTAGGGGGACATACTGTATAACTAATTTTAATTTCTTTATAGGTTATGGAGAAATTTATCCTCTTACGAAAGTCGGTAGAATACTGACGATACTATACGCAGTGATAGGGATTCCTTTGTTTCTTCTATTTTTAAGAGACTTGGGAATTTTATTTACCAGGCTGGTCAAATACGTTTGGATGCTTTTAAGAAGATTGTACCATACCGGTAGTTGTAGAAGACATAGGGAAACTCATATGGAGGTAAGTAAGGATCTTACTACATCCACTTTCAAAAAAAATGATGGTACGATAAGGTAAAATATGTTCAAATTCAGATAAATATCAGGAAAGGTAAAACGTATACATTCAAAAAATTTGTAAACAGTAGTAAAAAATTGTTGAACTGATCTAATCGTTAAACAAATTTGCAATGAAATGAAAAAATACTTTAATAGTTTAAAAAATGTTTAAAAAAAAATAAAAACAGTTTAGCAAACATCCAATAATGGTGGAACATCTGGCTCTTGAACTGATGATTCCTAATAAAAAAAAAAACAAAAAAGAAGTTTATTTCGATTCATTTACCGGATGTCTAGGCTAAATGAATGCTTCTGAGAGCTCAAAAGTTCTCTTTGGTTAACGTACATTCACCAGAGAGAAAAGAGAACAAATAAGAGGATGGGAACTAACAAAAATACTAGTTATTCAGACTTGGAGTAGCCATGTGTGAGTTTATGGATTTGTTAGAATTGTATTTCCCAGGTAATGTCGATATATAGTTACTATAGTATGAGTTGTTATAGTTTTTTTACGACTGATTTCGTGATAGATGTACTGATTTGACTTTACAAAAAGATATATTAAACCTTTATCAGATTATGAGCCCAGGTACGATTCCAACGCGTAAAAATTTTGAGCTAATTTTTCTGATTTTTAAAAATATGTCACAAATTGGTAGAATTAACAAATTACTTAGTGAAATTAACTGGACAGCGTAAAAGTTCGATGTGGATTTGCAGCTGACTGTTCACAAGGTAAGAATAGCAATTTTTCTTGGAGATTGGATTTCGCCTAAAGCTCTAAAAGAAAATGCTTCTCCTAAAGAAAAAGACATTTCCATTTTTAAAAAAGCTGATACTGTAATACGTTACACTATTGGTTTAAATGTCTCTTTTGCCGTGAAGCAACATATTCTAACTTGTCAAAGTGGGAAGGATATGTGGGATGTGCTTCATTCCATTTTTGAGCAGAAGAATGAAAGGTTAGATGTGCCATTTAGTCAACTATTTAGTTACTTGAAGGTACCTGCTGATACTATTGCTATGCACGTCTAAGCTGCAAAATATCTGGCAAGATTTGCAAGATAAACTCAAGGCTAATAAAGTACAGCTGCCTGAGTCAATGTTGCTTAATACGCACAATATTTAGAATTGAAGAATGCTTGGGAAACAACACCAATTGCAGAAAGAAGTCTTATTCAATTGACCAAACGGTTAAGACTACATGAGCTAGATGAGGGGAGTCGTGATCCAACACTTGTAACGAAGAAGGTAAGATTTCTCAAAATAAAGATGGAGAAAATGTTAACAAGAAGATATATCGGAGGAAGGTGTGTTGTTATGGATGTGGAGAAGTAGGCCATATAAAGCGAAACTGTGCGAAATCAGGTTTGTTATCTAAAAGCAAAGATAAAAGTTTTTTGCAGCTTCTGGTGTGGAGAAGGGTTTTGATGACTGGATCCTAGATTCAGATGCTAGTTCCTACATGACTAGATCAGAAAAAGAAATGCTGAATTTGAATGATGAAGAAAATAAGAGCATCACTATGGTATATAATAAAGTCATCAGATCTAAATGTAGAGGTTGCGCATGATTTGGGTAATAAAAACATAAAAAATGTCAAGTATATTCCTGATTTGTCTGTTAATTTATTACCTGTTGGAGAAATAACTGACAACCATTTTGCAATAGTTTTTTTTTAGACAAAGGAACTAATAGTTTTTTTGTAGAAGGGCAATTAGTTGCTACATCAGTTAGGGATGGGAGCTTATATAAGTTAGACGTTGACGAAACTGGTAGTTACGAATTTGTTAATTTTGCAACAGAAATAGAGAATTTATGGCATCGTAGATTAGGACATTTAAATATGCAATATGTTAAAGATGGGTATGGCAGATGCGCTAGATTTTTCAGATCGTCACATAAAGTCATGAATTTCTTGCAAAGAAGGTAAGCAAACTAGTTGTCATTTTCAAAGAAAGCTAAGAGGAAAACTACTATCTTATTATAATTAGTCTACACTGATTTCTGTGGTCCTATGAGTCAGGCTTCGTTTGGTAATTCCCGTTATAGGCTTGGTTTTATAGACTTTCGTGTATTTCTTAAAATCAAAGAGTGAGGTGCTTAAGTCGTTTAAAAGTTTTAAAATTATGGCTGAAAATCAACCTAGTCAAAATATTAAGTGTATACGTAGTGATAATGGAACTGAATATGTTAATACGTTCTTTTTTTAGTCAACATGGCATACGCCATGAAAGGACGGTGTAGCAGAGCATGCTAACTACATAATTGTGGACAAAGCACGTCCCATGATATGTGATGCTGGAGTAGAGAAGTATTTCTGGCCTGAAGCTGCAAATACAGCAGTTTATTTGAAAAACCGTAGTCCTACGGCAGCTGTTCCAGGAAAGGTACCGATGGAGGTATGATCAGGTAAAAAAGTTGATGTGAGTCACCTCAAGGTTTTCAGGTGTATCGCCTACAAACACACACAGAAAAGATACAAATTTAACCCAAAGAAGAAATGTCACGTTATAGTGAAACATCCAAGGCTTATAGACTTCTTGATTCTAAAAAACCAAGGGATGTGGTAATTGCTTTTTTGAAAATATGTTTCAAAAGGATCTGAATGAGGCTGCTCGAACAGATGCTTTCAGCTGATATATTGCAGTTACCAACTGATGAAAGTAGCGAGTTCTACAGTCGAAATATAGTGCTGAAGTAGGTAAGATTTTTGAGTAAAGAAGTGGGTCTATTGCGGAAATAGGTGAGATTTTGGAGACAAAAAGTTTGTCGTCTATTGTTGAAGTAGGTAAGATTTCGAAGTAAAATAGTATTTCTGTTACTAAAATAGGTGAACTTCTGGAGTCTATAAGTGATTCTGAGATCGCAGTAAATACACGGAGATATCCTAAAAGGCATAAGAATAAACCAGTTAGGTACCCCAATAATGAGCTGTACTTCACGTCTGTGAATATTGATGAACAAGCAATGTCTGGACCAAATCAGGTAGCTAGGAAAAGGACCATGGAGCAAGAGTGCGAGGCTCTGCAGAAAAATGGGACATGGAAGTTAGTTGAACTTCCAAAAGGAAAAAGGTAGTAAAGAACAAATGGGTGTTCAAAGTAAAAAGAATTTGCAACGGATAAGTGGAAAGGTTTAAAGCTCGGTTGGTTGCAAAAGGTTTTGCGCAAAAAAGGGGCTTAGACTATAAGAAAACTAAAGCTCTAAGAATGCTTTAAGCACTTGCAGCTGAACGAGGTTTACATGTTCATTAAATGTATGTAACCACTGCTTTTTTAAATGGAGAGCTAAAGGAAAATTTAGTTTGTAAATTGGAAGAAGCACTCTATGGGCTAAAGCAGGCATCGAGATGCTGGTACGGGAAAATTCAGTTTGTAACATCCTAATATTACGGAAACCTAACATACACATGTGTATATAAAGCTGCCTACCCTTGGACATCATTCCAGAGCGATGTTGTGATCGAAAGACAGATGACAGTGCATATTTTACCGCGTTTCCTAGAACTCAGGTCAATTCTTGTCAGAAAAGCAATTAGTACTATATCTTGTGTGTTTGCCTTTGGTATTCATTTATTTAACGTATTTTCTTTGTCAAATGTAATGTTATTTTGTATTAAAGTTGTTAAGAGTGTAATATACTAATGTCACTAAGATTTAACGGTTTTAATACGTTCCAAAAATAAGAAGGGCTCTCCTAACCTACGAAATAGATATCATCCAACACCACCCTTGCTATAAGTTTATTTTAAGTGAGATAGGGTTTTTAAAAATACTTGAGTGAACCTTGCGTAATTACTAAAATTACAGAAAGTAGTGTTTTCATTATCGCTCTGTACGTTGATGATTTGTTAGGTACTTTTTTTATAATGGCAAAGATGAGAAAAACGATGTCAAACATTGTCTCATGAAAGTTTTTAATATAAAAGACCTAGGTCCAGAGGAACATTTTCTTGGAAAGCATTTTGTTTTCGGTTTTTTCATCGGTTAGTACATTAATTCCATTAATAATTTTTTGTTAGTATGAACAAATCAATATTAGTGGTATTGGTAGATTAGTTTTGTTAATTTCACTTAAATTAAATCAATATTCTATCATTTTTTATTCTTGCTAACAATTTAAAACTCACCAATTACCCTTTTTCTCTTATCCACTAGGTGTGAGGTGTGCCTGATAATGAAGTTATCAGATTTCGAGATATAAAGGATCTGTTTTCTCTTTGTTTTCACCTTTAATACTAGTTAAACTAAAAATGTGTTACGGCATCCTTTTACAGACAATAATTTTTTAATATGCAATCAATGCGAAACCTTTAAAAGGGAAAATCTATTAGTACGAATTTTCTTATTTTAAATAGTGTTACAAATGCCGGTCATCTATGATTTTATATTGATTAGTACTGTCTGTTTTATTTTAGGACGTCTTCGTTGAAAAAAAAGTAGATTCAGACTTACAACAGCACGCACCCACACCTACTTCGCACAAATTGAATGACATCTCCAGCGTGGCTCCTAATGCTAACTCGGAAGACACTGTAACTCAAGAGGTATCGACCTTCGAAATTGACGATGAGTTCAATTTACCCATACCAGTAGCCCTCTTCATTTTGTGCATTTATATCTTCCTCGGCGCCATCTTGTACAGTTATTTCGAGGAATGGGACGTTTTCGATTCGTTTTATTACGTTTTCATCTGTTTGTCGACCATCGGTTTCGGAGATTTCATCCCTCATCATCCCACTTGCGAAATAATTTCGCTTTTCTATGAATGCTTCGGTAAAGCCTTTATGGCCATGACCATCGAGCTGTTCTCCGAAAGACTGAGTCATTCGTTCCATACGTCTTTGAAATCCAGCTCCGATTTATGGGACATGGACGATTCCGGTAGTGAAAGGTCATTTGATATCGTGGAATTTGATAGAGACGCGTCGGTGCACAAAATTATAAATATCGAAGAGCTGGAAGACGCTTCATTGGGCATCAAACGTGCTAAAAGCGTGTATCGACCGTCTAAATTTCGTTCGGAATATTTTACTACTTTAAAAAATGATCCTATCCCTGTTACGGTTGTTGGTAATTGGGAGGAAAGGGTTGTTGTTCATTGTGATTCGAGTTTTCGCAAAGGTAAAGTCGAAGAAACTAGTAGGATTAGAGATGCAGGTGATGGAGATTTTGATGTTGCAGATATAGATGTTTAGAAGAAGGAGATAAATAATATATTGTATTTTATGTTTATTAAAGATTAGTTTTTTAAAATGGCAAAACAACTAACACACTATCTGGCGAACACTGTAATAATCTAATTAGTTTTTGACATTTGGCGTTGTTTATTGTGGTTTATTAGTGTTTTCGTTTTCTTTTCTGTGTTTTGTTTACTTCTTTTGATAAGGAGGAAGTAATAGGTTTGTTCGTAGAACGATCCACAACCGTTTCCAACTGAGCAGCGCATGCGCATTGACTATTTTCTGTTCGTAGAAGGATCCAATAAACCGCTTTATGGTCGAAACCGAGTTTTGTGATTATTTTCATTATTTTGTTCTTCGGTGCCGCTTCGCCAGAAAAACCTGTAGGGGCCTCCTAAGAACTCTAGAGCCTATACAGATAACCGTTTAATATGGGCCTCTTCAGGTTTTTATATGAACAAAAATTCATATTTTTATAACGCTACAATCAAAAAATTTACACCTTTAATGCTGAAATCTAAACACATATGCGACAGACTATAGTCAAAGCTCGTCGAGTTGTCACAAATGCAGCCCATACACTATTTGTCTCGGCATTACTTTATGGAGGTCAACGAGAGGCGAGATAATAAGCGTGGGCGGCCCAAGCGGTGTGCCGACCGTCCCGAAGTGACCCAGCTAAGAGATGAATATGAAGCGGTGAAATTTTGTTAAATCTTCCTCTTAGTTATTAGCTAACAGAAGGATACGTCCCCGCGCTATTGATTCTATTTAATAATTAAAATTAAATTAATGAGGTCATCAATAAAATTTATTTCTGGTAAATTTAGATAATATACTTCCATTTTTTTGGCAATTCTGCAGCTCTACAGTACTTATGCGCAAGCCGCCACTGCTGCGTTAATCATTGTATGATAGTGTATAATAAATATTTATTTTAAATTTTTAAATATTTAATTCCCTAATCATTTTACTTTTGTATCTGTCTAGCCAGGTATATAAGAATAAAAAATCAAACTAAAATTTTACCCAGAATTAAAGGGGGTATATCTATATTTATAATACCCGGGCAATTTAAAAAGTGCCCGAAGGGATTGGACAAAATGATAAATTATATAGAAAAAATCACATTGCCCAGGCATTATAAATAATGCTGAAAGTCGAGTGGGCATATTTTTATTTATATTTGTCTACATACAAAAATAAGAGGATTTATTACATTAAAAAAAATTTTTAAGTAACAAACTGAAAAAACATATTAGGTACCATAAATACATTATACATACAAAATGTCAAATTCTAGAGCTTCTATTTATTAGAACAGCTTCCACTTTGGTGAAATTTCGGGTTACAAAGCTTTTTTTCTTTACGACACTTGCACTTGTCAGTTTTACAGCCCCCTTTACAGCCGCATCGACTATAGCCTTGGCCCTCAGTTTTGGATGACATGCTTGAACATTCCCTTAGTGAAATTTTTGACGGTGGAATTTCTTCGGCATTAATAAATTTTTCATTACATATTGTAAATTGGTTCCTAGCATAAAGTTGATTTAGGATTCCATGTTTCGTGCCTAATTTATAAAGATTATCATGTTATTTCAAAGACAATTGCCAAAATATTTCTTCCATCGGTGCGACCTCTGTCGACATTTGGGACTCGAACTCTAACTGTGTCACCCTTTTTAGTGGCAGGATATTTTGAATTAGAAGTTTGAAGCATTTTTTCAGCTTGTTTTTTAGATCTTCCTAATTTTTAATATGTCGGTTTTTTTTTTCACATTGGGATTTTCTGAGAAATCTTCATAACCTTCATACGCGCGTTTCTCATGACCGGGAACTTGAATTTCAGATGCCCCTGAGACATTTGTTTCTTTTATTATTACTGAAATCAGAGCTTGGTTCAGATAACGAAGTTGATGGTTGAACGTCTATCAAGAGAAGATATTTCCCCCTCGTATTATTGACTTGGACCTAATTTGCTCTAAAGAATTTCACCCTGGTTTATTTTGCAGTGCACCTTCTTTTGCAGACTCTAAATTGTTTTGATCTTCTACTATTGCTTCCAAGTCCTCTTCAGAATTTATATTAGGCAGAACGTCTTCAGGTAAAAACCTTTTTAGACCCACTTTTAACTTTGTTTCAAACATGGCCTCATACGGAAAACAGTTTATGCCACTATGATGAGCTCTGTTTATCATAAGTTGAACAAAACGTAAGCCTTCTGACCATTTATTGCTGTTATTGTCTTCTAGCCACGAACTAAGCATATTTTCCACGTCCTGATTCGCACGTTCGACGGAGCCCTGACTTTGAGAGTGTCTGGGCTTCCCATGTACCATCTTTAATTCGGGCCACATGGTACATAGTTTGTTAATAGTACTATTGGCAAATTCTCTGCCATTATCACTCTGCAAAATAGTGGGCGCATCAAAAATGGTGAAAATATCCAAAAGCACATAAGCTACTTCTTCTGCTCTTTTGCTTTTAAGAGGTCGAAGTTGAACAAATTTCGTTAAATGATCTTGGTATACAAGTATGAATTTATATTGATCATCAGCTTGCGACTGCATGTCCATTAAATCGACTTGACATCTTGAGTTCATGTTTTTACTTAGTATCGGCCTAACAACGAAACCTTTTCTTGGTACACTGTGTTTTTTTCGCAGGTCATACATAAATTTAGATAGATTACAATCATTTCCCTTGTGATTGATCTCTTTTTCTATGCGGTTTCGACCACCGTGCCCAATAGAAATATGTGCATCATGTAAATGTTGAAATATCTTTTCCCGATGTACGTAAACCTAATCTGCTCTTTACCTTCCTCTACAGGAACTATCAGCTTTTCCTTCTCTCTAATAGTCATTACGTCAAACCTGCGTAAACGCTGATAATCCTCGGGTTTTTTATTTACCACTTTGATTTTAGATGTTTTAATCTTTTCTATTTATTCCAAGTATTGAGGTTTTGTGAGAATTTGTGTATTCTGACCTTATGATGAACACAATTCATTCAGCCGTTCGTCGAAACGATTTTTTATCTCACTTACATCAGTTAATAATAATTGTTTCTGCATTTTCTTTTAAAGACAAATCACTAACACTTAAAACAAAACGATAAAGTCACTTTAAGGCAAAATTCATTTAATATTCGTGGCACAATTATTAACAGCCCAGAAAAGAACTGAAAACAATCGAGAACGAGACCTCATTAACGCGCAAGATGGACAAGCGATAAGCCATCAAAAATGGATGCTGATTGGCCAGTGAGAATCACACTATACACACGTTGCCAAATTGCTTAAAATTAATCAAAGTGCCCAGAAAATAATAGCAGTATTTATAATGACCGGGAGTGTAATAAATTATTATAAACAAATACAAAATTATTAAATGGCCCGACTGTATTGGACACTTTATAAATTGCCCGGCCATTATGAATAATGCCTGGAATAATCAAATTGCCCGTAACATATCTAATATACCGTTATTTTTCTCCCTACTCTAATATCCCGTTCTCGCTTCTGTTTTTGTCAATCAATAACCATTTTTGACATTGTCATGTTTTTCTGAATTTCGATACTGGAAAGGTAATTTTATAAATCGGAGCAATCCGCTGGTAATTTATTTCATTTTGATTATCAAAAGCCGTCAATTTGACACTTGGTTTATCTGGAGCGAAAAATATAATACGATTTGAAAAATTGTTTAAAAAAAATATTTTTATTTAAACAAGTGCAATATTTTTATGACTTTATTAATTAAACACTTGTTCAGAGATAACAAGTAACTTAAACTGCCGGCTGGTGGAATTCTCGGAACTTCTCGAAAGGTCAGCGGTTTCTATTATGTAAGTAGCGTAATAAGTAATTTTAACTACTATTATTGATTACTTACGTAAAATGTAATTACGTGCTTTACAAAATTCTAATTTCTAGTTATTTTTCATTATTTTATCCTTATGCCAAACCTATCACCCTTTTACTTAAGCTTAAGGTACATTTCATTATAGAAACAATTTATAGAAATCAAAAACTTTTATTTGTACAAATAAGCAAAATAAATAAAATATAAAACTACTTTTCCATGTCGATTTTAGTCACTTTATTACCCAACGACGCATCATCATGATATTTCTTCTTTTCAGAAAACTTTTTCATCTCAACTTTATTTCTATCTTCTATCTTCCATACTAGTATCCTTTCTATTGAAATTAACATTACAATCAAGATTTTTCCAGCTTATCTTCCAAAACATCGTTTCTATTAATATTAGCATTGTATACAAAATTTATTGATCTAGAAAGTAACAGCTCTACTTCTCATCCTATGAATCCCCATCTTGACTTCTTCGTCCTCTTCCATTTTGATGATCCTCTGCACCGATTCATCCTTGTCGAAATTGAGTATATCTAACGATTCCAATGAGTCTTCATCGTCAGACCCGTAAAATGAATCGACGTCTGTAGCATCGACATCAGACTCTTGGAAAGTGGTGTCGAAATATTTTTGAATCCCCACTATGAGGATGGTGCACAACGCCAATCCGAAGAAGATAATGATGACGGAAATGACTTGACAGAAAGGATGATGGGGAATGTAATCCCCGAAACCTACTGTGGATAACGTAATGAAGATGAAGTAGAATGATTCGAAAAAACTCCAACGCTCCCAATGTGAGTAGACCAAGGCGCTGATGAACATGTACACGGATAACAGGAATATCGCTAGGGATATGGGAAGATCGAATTCTACGTCGATTTCGAAGGTGGACAGGTCTGGTGTAGTGGCTGTATCCTCCGATAAAGCAGCTTGGGTGGTGGCTGATGTTTGTTTATCAATCATAGAAGCGGATTTTTCGACGCCTAGACTTAGATCGAATAACTCTCTACTGATTGGATCCTAAAATATATGGATATAAATTAGTGCAATCATATATAGATCAGGGATTTTCAAACTCTCCAGCAATAGGGCCGTAATGATTAATCCAGTTTTAACCGACATAAAAACAAAAACAATAAACACCGGAAAAGAAAGCAAAATACCAAGAACAGATGAACAAAGAATTCGAACAACATGAAAATGACAATATTAAATAGATACACAATGAAAAGCTTTTTAAATAAATTAAACCTTGCAATAAGTTAAAGACTTTCTAAAACGATTTATGCCCTAAATGTACGCTCCCGAATTTTCAATATCTTTCATAAGGAAAATATCTTATTTGCTGTAATTTATTATCAATGGGAACATACATTTGTAACAATTGATCTTTTGGACATTATTCCATATTGCATTTAAAAGCTAAATTCTTTAGCTATTCGAAACTTTTTGGAGACGCCTGTCCCAAATTTTTGGCTGAGCTAATTAATCAAAACAAGATGAATATATAAATAAACAATATTTACGTCTTTGATAATTTTCGTCCTCTTCCTACAACTGCCGGTGTAGTAAAGTCTTCGAACAAACGACCAAAGAAACTTAATGATCAACGTTATAAAACGACCAAAATCCGTTAAAGCGATCAAGAATAACGGTATGCCGATGAGGCCGTAAATCATTGTCAATAAGCGGCCAATGTAGGTGTTTGGAGTCAACTCTCCATAGCCTAAAACAGAGAAAACAAAATATTCCCAAGCTAATAGATGAATTGAATCGGTGAGTTCAAAAACCGTACAAGTCCAATATTTGGCATTTTAAAGATAACTATTTTGTTAAAAAATTTGTCTCTTCATCGATTGAGTTTAAAAACCTTACCTACTAGATACCTGTCCGTTGACATAGTATAGTTGATAACCCGTGAAATTAGGCTAAAAAGCGTACATATTCGTGATTCGTTAAAAGGTTTTAATTGTTTTTCTAGGAAGGCCGATTTTGGACATGTACGGTTTTCGAACTCACCGATTCAATTGCAGGGATGCTGGCGCTTAGGTTCTTTTGGTGTTTTTTATTGCAAATGACAGCTAAATGACAGGATCAATTTGAACCAATAATAGCTGATATATAAGCTCGGGCTCTTTTCTTATTGATATCTGTCTCCAGTTTTTCGTCTTACAGCCTCCAGAAGCTTTATTAACTTCTCTTTGGTCCTATGTCACTTCTTCTGCTTCTTCAATTAGTAAACGGCTCCTCAGAGGCTTCTTTAACGTTTTCCCTAGTCCCACATCACTTCTTCCGTATCCCTTCGAATCTCCAAAGGCTTCTTCATTGTATTACATAGTCCAACGTTACTTCTTGGACTCCTATTTATATTTAAGTCTCCAGAGGTTTCTTTGACGTTTCCTCAAACGTCGAATACAAGAAATATGATGGAACCTAAGTTTAAGGTTATGTAACAAAAATTAGCTAGAACCCCCGCATTTCATCTACTCAAGCTTAGTATTAAAAATGCTTACCAAGTGTAGTGTATACCGTTCCAGCGTAAACTATGCTATTCCACAGCGTCCATATCTTCAAACCACGATTGTTTCTTACAAAGGTTTTGGTTCTTTCACTTCTCACTATAAGTTCCCTGTAGAACTCCATTAGAGGATCCACTTGTTCTGTAAATTCTTCAATGGTGCTAGTATTAGCTTTGATTTCACGTACATGATGCAACACAATTTGTCTGTCTTTTTCTTCTAAGTAGTATGGTATTATTGGTTTTTCTGCCTCAGCTGAAAATGGTTTTGTATTATACAGCTTCCCTTTAAAGTAGAAACTAAAATATATACCTTCAACAACCATGAATACGTAGCCAGGTATAAGAGTACCGAAGAAGAAAATAATGCATAGTTTTAAAATGTACACCAGGTGTTGATTCTTCGAAACAAAGTAAGAGAAAAACCAGTTCTCGCAGGTCTCAATATTTTCTAAATATTTTGTAATTCTTTCCATTGATTTGCGTTCATATGCGGACTGTTTATTAAAAAAATAAGATTATTTGTTTTACTTGAGAGATATTTAAGTATAATCTAATTATGAAGTTTTTTTTTGTTAGTTTTTCTTGACGTTTAAGAAGTTTTTTGAAGTTTGTTAGTTATAGCAATTATTTTTGTTTCTATTGGCCATGTTGTCAGAGTAGAAAGTCAGGACCGGATTTAAAACCGATGGGTTACTCATTAAAGGTTTTCTAAAATTGTTCATCAATTGTAATTTCAAGATTTTAATAAAACTAGATTTTTTGAGGATAAGAGAATGACCTATACATAAATATCTTCTTATTTGAAACATCAATCAAACAATACAATTAAACTATGTTTTTAATAAATTGGATGCACTATCTACTATCGATTCGGGAAAATCCCCGTACACGGCCTTCAAAAGAAAGAGAAAATAAGAGGAACCAACTCCTAGTTCTTCCAAAGATGAGACTGATGTGGAGAGCATAGAGAGCCTTAACCTTTAAAATCTCTGCGTAGACTCATCTGAGGATGTAGAAATTGATGAAGAAACAGAAGAGGGGGATATGGAACACACCCTCACCGATGGGGACAACACCCCCATTAAAGGAGAGTAAAATAGCCGGCATCGACATCGCCCAAGTAAATGTCCATCACGCCAAGGGAGCATCGGCTGTGATCTCCAGGACATTCACTAAAGATCAATTAGGAATCGTACTGATCTAGGAACCGTGGGTCTATGGAAATCAGGTAAGAGGACTTGTATGTAAGGATGCAAGGGTAATTTATCACACTAGTGATAAAGTACCCAGAACATGCATAATGGTAAGAAGTAATATTAAATATTCTTGTCGCGTGAGCAACCATGACAAACATTCAGCAAAATTTTTGTGTGTTGGTACAAACTCGATATTATACTGATAATTAGAAAAAATAACTGCCCACCTGCGCAAGCGATTGGCGGAAAATTGAGGAATACTTTTCTCAGGATGAAAAATAGAGATGAGTGGTTTGTGGTCCACCACTTAATTAAAATGACGGGCATAAAAATATTGAATAAATTTACATAAACCAAAAGTAATAGCCAGTCCCTCTTTTTCAATCTGTGAGTACTTCCTCTCAGTTGTAGATAACGTGCGCGATGCATATGCAATGGGCTTTTCTATACCATCCGAAAAAACGTGAGAAATTAACGCTCCGATGCCATAATAAGCCACACTGGCAACCCGCATTATAATGAACCAGAACTTCTGCTGATATTAGCAAGTCTTTAATCTGTTTAAAAGCTCTATCATAATCTGGAGTCCACACCCACTTAACTTTATGTTTTAAAAGATTATACAGAGGATTTAAAATCGAAGATAAATTTGGAATAAATTTCCCATAATAATTAACCAACCCTAAGAAAGATTTTAATTGTTTAACGTCCAGAGGAGTAGGGGCTTTAGTAATTGCTAAAATCTCATCTTCACATGTATGTAGTCCATCCTTATCAATTTTAAAATACCTAGGTAACTAATTTGACTTTTAAAAATTGACATTATTTTTAGCTATTTTTAATCCTGCATCTTGCAGCTTGTTCTAAGCGATTAATATGTTCTCTTCTAGTTGATCCTGTGATGAAAATGCCGTCCAGAAAAACCACTACGCCCAATTTGCCGTTCAATAATGGTGCTCGAGTATATCTGTGTAGGCTTTTATGCGTACTAATTGCTACCAAACGTTTAGACTTTTCATCTAAACCAACATGTATATAAGCATTTTCTAGATCTAATTTACTAAAATGTTCGCCCCCTTGCAATGTGACAAATAATTCCTGAATACGGAGTAAAGGATATTGATTAATTTCTATATACAGATTTAAATTTACTTTGAAATCTCCACATAATCTTACAGTTCCATCTTTTTTTAAAACTGGTACTATCGGCGTACCCCAAGGAGAATAATCAATAGACTCTATAACCCCCCAATGTTTGTAACCTATTTAACTCCATCTCCACCTTCTCTTTAATGGCAAACGGTAGAGGCCATGCACGAAAAAATTTTGGAGTTACTTTTTCAGATTTTATAATTTATAGACATTGTACCTTTGATGAAAGTACCTAATCCAGATTTAACTACATCCTTATATTTGGATATTAAGTTTTGCAAATCATCTGATAAATCTACATAATTATTCTCGTTTATACTTAATTGAAAAATGTTGAGAAAATCACGACCTAATAAAGGTGGACCAGTAGTACCTTTAATTATTACATAAATATTTTGAAAATCTATTTTACATTTAAAATATCCTAATGGATCAATTATATCACCATTATATAAATGAAACTTTTTATTTGTTTTGAATAAATCAAATTTTAAAAATTATTTTTATAAAACATCTCTGAAACTACAGTAAAACTTGAACCAGTATCCAAGTTAAAAGTGAAAGAGATTCCTTCAATTAAGACATTGAATAGTACAGGATTAACTTTAGAATCTAAAGTAAACAAACAATATTCCTCTATATTAGCTGATTCTAAAAAGTTTTGTGTATTATTTGAATTATTCGATTTATTTTTATATTTATTTATATTTATATTTTATACAAATGTTTTTGTGGGCATATTGGAGCTAAATGTCCCTTTTTTTGCATAAATGACAAAAACACTTGTCTGTACTATAGTTCCACTGCGAATTCGCTAGGTCAAATTCACGTAAATGTCCTAAACCTTCAGCCATTTTATATATAGCTATCACTAAACTTAAGCAAACTACTTTTAATCACTTTAGAGATTCAACTATTGTGGGTTCACAATATTTCTCGCCGCCACTGACACATTCCTTATTAATGTGAATAGGATATGTGGAAATAATAGACAAATTCCCGAACAAATAAACTTCATTCTGTTTACTCGTAAATTACAAATCCCAACTGCCAACTTCATATATCCGAACACCAGCAGGGAGTTTTTCTTTAGTAATATATAGGTTTGGTCAGCCCTTCATTTAAGAATAATTGTTAAATATGGTCATATAATTTTTGTATTTTTTTTTTTTCGTATTTCCTATAATAAAACAGCTATAGATTCATTACGCGCTGATGGTACACCCTGTATATGTGTTATTGGTTAACATAATGGTATTCTCGAATAGGTAAATTTATTAAGATTTTTTGCTAAAATTATATACAGGGTGTTGTATTTGAAAAATTAAGTAAATTGAATTTAAAATTAGTCATATTTAAGACATGTTTCAAAACACCCTGTATAAAATAAACAAATTCTATCACCACTATACGGTAGCTTAGTATCTTACAGGTCTGTATATTAAACAATTTTGAAATCAATGTAAACCTACCTAAATTATGATAATTTAATTTGGGGTCTGCATCATTCTCTAATTTCATAAAAATTAATTACTTGGCAATCCTATAATATTTTGAAAAAACATTCTATGATTGAATACAGTATTACCCAATCGTTCTGAACAGGAATAAAATACAGGGTGTTCATTATAAAAAATATACATTTTTATTTGGCGGGCAAAAACGCAACACCCAATAAATTCAAAAATATTTTTAAAATACTTACTTTTTGAATTCATATAACTTTTATTTGAAACTTTTTTGCAGGTCTATAACACAAATTAAAATATTTAACAATTACGCACTCTGTATATCTACTAAACTGCACTATGTGCAATTGCTAACTAAAAAACTTATTTTTATATTTGTATTTCTATATTTTAATATTTTTAAACTTTTTATTTTTGTATCTATATTTTTCCTAATATAAATGTGTATATATATAAAGATTTAAACACTTTTTGAAATAAATAAAATGGTATTAAACACATTAACTTTGTTTAGCCGAAGTTTTAATTGCTTAAAAAAAAAATGATAAACTTGTAAATAAATAAATTTAATTTAAATTAGACCAAATATTGCACAAGAAACTCCTCAATGTGAAAACTTATCTTTATTTACATGAAAATTACACTTCTCGAAACAGTAATATAAAAAACTATAATAATATATATCATCTCTCCTTAAAACCAATTGGAATCATATTTTCATCCTCAAACCTTGCATCATCACTACTCAAACCATCTTTTCTAATATTTTTCTCATTCTTATCAATAATCGTAGGAGCTAAAGTAACTGGTGCATCTTTGGGGTTGTCATAAGGATCTTTAGATACCTGCAAACCAATCGCAGCTTCTTCAATAGCACCATCAACTTTATTTTCGATTCTTTCACCTTCTAGCTCGTCATCTGGTATCTCAAATCCCATGGTGGAAGACAACTTCAAAGAAGCTTGCTGGAAGGTATCGGACAATTTGAGCTGGACTACGTTGATGCACATAGACATGAGCGCTAGTCCAAAAACCAAGTACACAATTGATACTATCATACCAATAGGGTTCCTTGGTACGTAGTCACCAAAACCAATAGTAGATAACGATATAAACACGAAGTAGAACGATCCGAAAAACTCCCAATTCTCCCACGCGCAGTATATCACTGCTCCTATAAACATATACGCCACTAGGATAAATAGAGCTACCGATATTGGTAGATTAAACTCGTCATCGATTTCGAAATTTGACAGTTCAGGTGTGGTGGGGGTGCCTTCTGTGTTGATCGTACCAGCGGCTGGAGTACCGCCATCTACTGGCTTATCAGGGTGGTCTTCGGTGGAAACATTAGAAGGTCTACGGAATGTGGCTATTTCATACATGAACTGTGCTCCTTTGAAGATTTCCTGGAAAAGAAAGCAAGTATATAGATATGTATTTATTGAATTGACAATCTTTACATTCTCATAAATGTACTACAATAGCTTCCTTCACAATGACATTAATGTTTTCCCCAATAATTTCTTTAAAAAATAAGTTAGTACCATAATAGTCCAGAATACTCACTGATACTTGTGCGTTCTTCCGTACACTTCTACAGCTACCTGTATAGTAACATCTCCTAACAAACGACCATAGAAATTTGATCGCCCTGGTGAACAATTTGCCGAAATCCGTCAGGGCGATAAGGAACAAGGGAATCCCCACTATGGCGTAGACGATTGTCAGCGCTCTTCCAGTTTGTGTTGTGGGATAAATGTGGCCGTAACCTGGAAAAGAAAACAAACATTTAAATATATACATTACACTTAAGGATATCTTTTCAAAAATGTCTTCAAAAAGAAAAAATGCTATTAGGAAAAAAATGCTTAAGACAAAGTGCATCTTGAAAAGACAAAAATGCTCAGAAGAAAACAAAATGGCTTCCACGAAATTGAAAGAAGACAAAAGTGCTCTCAAGCAAACAAACAATATTAAAAATATTCCAAAGAATACAAAAATGGCCTAAGGAAAAGTATTCCCTCAAAAATGGGTCTTAGGAAAATAAAAATACTCTTGGGAAGACAAAAATTGCTTTTATAAAGACATAAGTTATTACTACCACACAAAAATGCTTCCAAAAAAACAAAAATACTCCTAGGAAGATAAAAATACTCTTAACCAGACAAAAATGCCAAGATGAAACTAAAAATGCTCTCAATAAGATAAAAAGCTATCAGAAATACAAAGATATTCTTAAAAATACAAAAATTCTTCATGAGAAGAAAGAAAAGCATCTTGGGATGACAATATGTTTTTGGGAAGTGAAAAATGCTCCCAAAAAGACAAAAATGTACGCAAGAAGACAAAAATGCTTTCACAAGAACAAAATACTCTTGGAACAGACAAATATGCTGCCACAAAAATAAAAATACTCTCAAGAAAACAAAAATGCGTCTTAGGAAATCAAAACTGATTGCAAGCAGATAAAATGCTTCCAAGAAGACCAGAAAAGGACCAAAATACTTTGAAGTCGGCAAAAAATCTGCTATGAAACTAAAAATGTTTTTAGAAATCATCTAGGAAGACAAGGATCCTCTTAAAAACACGAAAATGCTTTTGGGGAAGAGAAAAATGCTCATTGGAAAGTCAAAAATGCGGCTTGGGTGGACAAAATGTTTTTGGGAAGACAAAAATGTTCCTAAAAAGATAAAATTGGTGCAATAAAGACAAAAACTGTATTAGGAAAAGAAAAATGCTTTTAAAAAGACAAAAATGCGTCTTGGTAAGACGCAAATACTTTTGTCAAGACAAAAATGCTCTTAAACAGACAAAAATGCCGACATGAAACTAAAAATTTAGTCGAGAAACAAAAATGTTTTCAGAAAGAAAATAAATTCCCAAAAATTCGTCTTGGAGAGACAAAAATGTTTAAAAAAAGTTAAAATTGCTTTTAAGAAGTTAAAAGTTGTTACAAGAAGACAAAAGTACTTCTAGCTTTTGAAAATAGCAGATATAAAACTTAAAATGTTCTCACGATGATAAGAAGCTCCAGAAAAACAAAGATATACTCAAATATGACAAAATGCCCCTTGAGAAGGCAAAAATGCCTCTTATAAAGATAATATGTTCTTGGGATATATAAGTGTTCCCAAATAGATAAATTTGTTCTCAAGAAGACAACATTACTTCCATGAAAACGAAAAACAGGACAAAGAAGCTTCTAAAAAGACAAAAACACTCCTGGAACCAAAAATGCTCTCAAAAAGACAAAAAAGCTTTAAATATGAAAAAATACTCTCGGAAAGACAAAAATACTCTCGATGAGATCAAAATGCTGCAAAAAAATTGAAAATGCTCTCAAGAAGACAAAAATGCTTTCAAAAGTGTACCTTATGTTAACAGAAATGCTCTCGAGAAGACAAAAATGATTTCAAGAGAAAAAAATGTTGTGGGAAAGATAGAAATACTTTTAAGCCAGCAAAAACTCTATTATGAAACTATCAGTATTCTTATAAAGACAAAAATTCTCTTAAAAAGTCAAAAATAGTTCTTGGGAAGACAAAAATGTGTCTCGCTAAGTCAAAAATTCTTCTTGGGAAAACAAAATGTTCTTAAGAAGACAAAAATGTTCCAAAGAAGACATGATTTGCTTCCATAAAGTCAAAAATTGTTCGAAGTAAGCAAAGATGTTTCTAAGAAGACACAAATGTTTCTAGGAGGACAAAAACACTCTCAAGCAAACAAAAATGTTGTCATGAAATTAAAAATACTTTAAAGGTGACAAAAAGCTTCCAGCAAGGCAAAGGTATTTTTAAAAATATAAAAATGCGTCTTGTTAAGACAAAATATTCTTGGGTAGGATACAAATATCCCAAAAAGACAAGTTTTCTTCCATGAAATCGAAAATGGTTCCATGCGTGCAAATATGTTTTCAAAAAGTCAAAAATACTACTAGGAAGACAAAAATGCTCTAAAAAAAATGCTTCTAAGAAGCCACAATTCTCAGGAAAGGAAAAATACTCTCTAGTAGACAAAAATGCTACATGATACTAAAAAGCCTTTAAGAAGACAAATATACTTTCAAAAATAAGTCTTTTAAAAATGCTTTTTGGGAAGACAAAAATGTTTCCAAAAAAATACAATACAAATACAAAGACAAGAATACTCTTAAGAATACCAAATTGCCCTCTAGAAGACAAAATTGCTTACAAGAAGACAAAATTTTTTTGAGAAAGACAAAAATACTATCAAGCTGGTAATGATACCAAATACCTATCACAAAGAAAAATAGATTTCCAAAAAGATGAAGATGTTTTCAAGAAGACAAAAATGTTCTTTAAAAAAAACAAAAATGCCTTTTGGAAGACAATATGCGTTTTGGTAAGTCAAAAATACATCTTGGGCGAAGACAAAAAGGTTCCCAAGAAAAAATATTGCTATCATGAAGTCAAATATTCGTCCAAGCAGGCAAAAATGCTTACAAGTAGACAAAAAGGCTACTATGAAACCAAAAATGCTGCTATGAAACTAAAAATGCTCTCAAGAAGACAAAGAAATCCGAAAAAAAGAAAATATGCTCTTAACAAAGTCATAAATGTTCCAAGAGAACAAAATGTCTTCCATGAAATCGCAAATGGTTCCATGAATGCAAATATACCACTAAGAAGACAAAAATGCTCTAAAAAACAAAAAAATTATCTCAGGAACATGAAAATACTCTCGGGCAGACAAAAATTCTGCCATGAAAGTGAAAATTCTTTTACAAATAATTTCTTGAAAGACAAAAATGCTTCCAAGATGACAAAAATACTCCTAGGAAGACAAAAATGTTTTCTATAAGAAAAAATTACTTCCAAGAAGACAAAGATACTCTCAAGCAGGCAAAAATGCTGCTATGAGACTAAAAGAGCTGTCAAAAAGATGAAAATGTTTCTAGGAAAACAAAAATAAAACAAAACAAACAAAATTGCTGTTATTGGATAAAAAATGGTTCCAAGCGGACAAAAATGTTTCCAAGAAGACTAAATAGTTTAAAATTTGATCAAAAAAGACAGAAGTTGGCAAATATGAAGAAAGTAAACTTGTACATGGAAAATAAATGAAAAAGTCTTTAAAGAAAAATAGTTTATAAATATTATTTAATAAATTGTAACATATTTAATTTAGTTAAGAACTAAATTTTATAACATCGTTAAATAGATAACTAAAAATCCATTTAAATGAGCTTTCACTAAACCACTCTTTTAATTTAAAATTTTCAGTTTTGTTATTCTGTTAAAAAAATATACCTGCTAATAAAAATGACCGTTTTCGAGAAATATTTAGAAAATAAATTTCGTAAAGGAGATAAAAAAGAGTTAACATTATTTATGATGCTCCATGTATATCTAGTTAGGTGTTTGTTAAACAGGTTTAATTTTAGTGTGTATTTAGTTTTTGCTTTATTTATCTATACACTTTTAAATATAATCAAATTTGTTACGATTTGACAAATGTACTGATTATAACCTAAAAAATCATTCTTACCAATTGTAGTTATTATTGACAAAGAGTATACAATCCCGTTCAAGAAACTCCAAGACCTCTGACCGCTGTAAGTCGTCATACCAGCTTCATGGGCCACATGCAATTCTTCTTCAAACACTCTCAACTTATTCCTAAACAAAGACTTCCAATCTTCCTCTCTCAAATTGTGACTCTTCACCCACAACAAGTCTATGAAATCCCTTTTCACCCGCTTCACCCCGCATTTATAGAAATTCTCGAATTGCCCTTCCGTAAATTTAAATATAAATCCCCCGATAGCGCAGTAGAGCATGATGAGGAATAATTCGAACATACATTTGTTCCATAATACTTTTATTCTTTTATATTCAACTTTCATTTCTTTTGTTTTGTATTTTTTGTATTCCTTATAGATTTCTCTGATGGAATAGAATTTTAGAATTTTAAATAGGTCTTTAAGACCGATTTCTGGTACTTTTATCATTGTTTTTCTTGATAGGATGTTTTTCGATGTTGGATCTAGAATTTCTACTATTTTCGATGAGTATTTAGTTATATTTTTTCTACTTTTCAAACCGGATACAGAGCCTGGTCTAAGCGCTTTGGCTTTTTTGATAATAGGTCCTGGAAAATCTGCATCAGGTATAATGTGCGCTACATTTGATTCAGAATATTTTCTAGGTTTTCTTTGTCTAACTGTAGTTACTAATTGTGCCTGTTTGAAAGATTCTATAAGTTCTTGTTCTTCGTGTTGATTAGGAGCACTTTGTGATCTTTTGACTAGTTCTTTATCCTTTCTAAATCTATCTCTACCTTTGATAGCTGCGTTAGTAATAGATTTTTTTGTTTTGTTAAATAGTGTTACGACTTCTTCTTGTGCTAAGTCCGATAGACTCTTCTTACGCTCTTCTGATCCAGTCACAAAGCGTTTTTTAGGTTCGTCTGTTGTAGGAGATTTGATTTTTTTGAATAGAGCGTAGATTTCTTCTTGTGCTAGATCCGAAAGGCTTTTCTTACGTTCACGATCTTCAGAACGTCGTTGGAATCGTTTTTTAGATTTTTCTGTTGGTTGTAGTAGTATTGAACGTTCTTCTGATCTAGCAGAACGTACCTCAGGCTCGCGTGGAAGTCTGAGTTTTTCTTCAAATGCTTTAAGCTTCGATCTAAAGCTGGGAGTTCGCGAAGCATTGCTGCTTTCTAAAGAAGGTGAGTCCGTTTCGCTTAGATACCTATTTTGTACTGATTTGTTTCGTTTGGGTCGTCGTGGATGATCGGGTGTGCTCGGTTTGCGTTCGGGTAGGTCATCTTCGGATGTGGTGATTTTTTCGTCTAATTTCCGTATCGGCGTTAAATCGCGTTTGGTTAAGCTGGTGCTGCGCTTCTTGGTGAATCTTCTGCGTTTTCTAGCGACATTATCACTAAACACTTGTTCGTCGGTAAGGAGAGATTTGATTTTTTCGATGTCGATTTGTGCGTTTTTTTCTGGCCGGTGATCAGCTGAGTGACTGATATCGCGTGATGCTGGCTGCGAAGCCATGCTTTGTAGACTGAGTTAAATTTAGAATTCGGATCTAGGGTAACGTGTCTTGGCGCTATTTTTAAACTGAAAAGATGTTCAGTTTAGCGAGGACGGTACGGGCTGTGGAATGTAGATGGCACTAGTAGTTAGGTTGAAATACTTTTTATTATTAACTTGATTTTTAACGTGGATTAAGTTTGTCATGCGGGGTATCCCTGTGTATAAAAATCGTATGTGTATATTAATAGATACATTAACTGATTTTGTTCTTATACAGTATGGAAATCATTGTAATAAATTATTTTTGGTCTTATTATTGGATTTTAAGAAAAATTTTGTGTTTGGAATTATTGGTACAAATTCTGGCTCGTATTTTGTAGGTATAGGTAATAAATAATATAGTTCATATTGTTTTTTAAAATTGATAGAGATTAATAAGTAATGAATATTATTTTTTGTTATTTTACAATTAACTTTAAATGATGATTCAAAATCTAAAATAATTTCATATTTAAGTTAGTATGGAAGTTGGGGCTTATACTTATTTAAAAGGTATATGAATAATTATTTTGATTTTATAATACGGGGATGTAACGTTCTTAATTTGCAGAATGTCAAAGAATTTTCAATATCCTGTACAGTATTTAATAATGAATTATATATTATTAGTAGCTGATTAAGCCAATCTTTCAAGTATAGAATATTTTCGAAATTCACTTGAAATTCAACAATATTTGTAATTTTTAAAATTTTGTTTTTTATAGTTATTTCATTTTGCAGAATATCGTGAATAATTGTGTTAAAATTGTTAATATTTTCGTGACTTACAGAGTATTGCATTTTAAGTTGATTTTGCAAATTATTTTGGTTTCCTTTTAGATGATTTATTCTATCCCCGTCATCTGCATCTAAATTTCCTGTTAAAGTTTTTAAAGTTGTTCCGAATCCATTTATGAATGAATGAATGAATGAATGAATGAATGAATGAATGAATAAATGAATGTTTATTATTATGAACCAATAAGTTTACAAATATAATTAAAAAATATACACACATAAAAACCTATAAAAAACAGAAGCCATATTGACATGTCCTGTACGTGACTATGAGAAGTATAATTGTATTAGTATTGTAAGTTAAAATTTAAAAACGTTAAAATATAAAAATATAAAATTATTTAAAATACAAAAACATTAAAAACATAAAAACTTATTACCTAATGTTAGAAAATATTATCTTATAAGAACATAAAATCTAACCATAAAATTATAAAAATCTAATGTACAAGTGGGTAAGTATTTGTATAAATGATATTATTTTATTCAATTAAGTCATGTATTTCTTTTCTAGGTCTGCCTTTAACATAATCCTTAAGCATACTTTTAAAAGTTTTTAAGCTTGTTTGTCTTTGGATATTGTCGGTTAAGCTATTAAATAATTTGGTTTCCAAATACAGATAACTCTTTTGTCCTTTATCCTTGGTCATTAAGGGTATCACATATTTATGTCTATATCTTGTCTCATAACTATGTTCGTATGTCTTTAGTCGATCTTTATTTAAATATTGTCTTGTGTTTAATTGGACGTAGTATAGTTGTCTTATATCGAAGATATTTGTTTCAGCATAGAGAAATTCAGTGGAGTATCTTGTGTTTTTGTTAAGTATTATTTTAAGAAAACGATTTTGACATATTTGCAATGATTCTTGTACATTTTTGAGATACCTCCCCATCCTATTATTCCATAGTTCAGATGATACTCTACCTAACTCTGATATACCATTTTTTTTTCTTTAATATTTGAAAATTCAGATAGTTTTTTAAATACATACAATATAAATCTAGGTAGGTACACTGTCTTCTGGATATTTAATGATAATAACCCGTTATCTAAAAATTTTTAATAAGTTGGTTTCTATTTTTATTTGTAAGTCATAATAATTATTTCCTTTATAAATGATCACAGTGTCATCAGCAAAACTTATTATTTTTTTCTAGTTTTCTAGTAAAAATAAAATATTTATGTAAATTGTAAATAGCGAAGGGCCCAACACCGTCCCTTGTGGTACTCCACAAGTTATGTCTTTTGTTTGACTAAACATATTATTTATTTTTACTTGTTGTCTGTTCTGAAAATAGCTCTTGAAAAGATCGTGTGCTTTACCCCTTATCCCTATGTTTTTAATAACATCTAACAATATAGTATGATCAACGGTGTCGAACGCCTTTGCTAGGTCAATAAAAACATCAATTACTGTTTATATATTCATTATTTTTATAGAAGGAAATTTGACAGGCGAAAGATATTTTGTTGAATCACATTTGTCAAGTTCGAATATGTCTGATATTGAACTAGTAGAATTTTTGAACCTTCTCAAGGTTTGTTTAGAACAAAACTTTTTTTCATTCAACAATGAAATTTTTTCACAAACTAATGGACTTTCTATGGGATCTCCACTTAGCCCAATTTTAGCAGACATATTTATGCACAATTTTGAAAAAGAGAAAATCCTTAAAAATAACCTTTTCCACTCAAATGTGAAATTCTATTATAGATATGTTGATGATATTTTGATTTTGTGGTCAGGTAACTTAGACTCATTAAATGACTTCTTGACTTATATTAATGACTTACATTCTAATATTAAATTCACATTAGAAATTGAAATAAACAAATCTATTAACTTCTTAGATCTTAAAATCTCACACAATAATAACAAGTTCAACTTTGACATCTATAGAAAGCCAACACATACAGGCACAGTTATAGACAATACCTCTAACCATCCAGCAACACATAAATTGGCTGCCTTTAATTGCTACTTAGAGAGGCTATTAAACATCCCTCTGTCTACGGAAAACTTTAATAAGGAACTAAATATAATTAAAACTATTGCTATAGATCACAACTTTGAACTGGATATTATTGATAAAATGCTAACACATAAACAAAATAAAATTCAACAAAACTTGGTTTATATTAATAATCCTAATTTGGTACATGAACTAACCACCAGTAAGAAATACATTTCTCTTACCTTTATTGGAAAAGCATCCTATAAAGTGGCAAGCTTACTTAAAGACCACTTTAAAGTATCTTTCAAAACCCCCTCCTCATTACATAAGTTATTTGTTCATAATAAAGATAAATTAGATCCCTTTGACTTGTCTGGAATTTATAAATTGACTTGTAAATCTTGCCATTCTTTCTATGTGGGACGCACATTTCGAAATTTCAAGATCCGTTTAAAAGAACATTTGCGTTGTCTTAACCAAAATACAACAGGATTTTCACATTTTGCCAACCACCTACTGGACTCAAATCACGACTTCGATTCAACTGAAGGTTTCGAAATCCTACATAGTTCCTACCATAGATTTACTATTAATAGCTTCGAAAGCCTCGAGATATTGAGAAATTTAAAATTAAATCCTGTTGGTTGCTTAAATGCCCAGATAATGTCAGAAACTCCTCCAGTTTTCTCAACACTATTCTAAATTTATCGTTCTAACTTCCTTTTTAACCTCCCCCTTTATTTCTATTCACATATTTCCTTGCAAGGGGTACATTTCAGTAAGTAATTTTTTCCCACAAAAAACCAACGTGCATGTTTAAAGACTAGGTTAAGTTGTGTGTTTTCACATCTGTCATTTTCTTCTTCTTTTATTTTCCAGTTGCTTCACAACAGTTAACCCAGTCATTTCTTCTTTTTTCTTATTTTATCCTACAACATCACATACACTTGGTGATTGGTTCATGGCCCAAATCTTATATAATAAATAATAAATATTTCTTCACTCATAGTTTACATCTTATTACCTATACCCTGTCATAAGTTTATCCAAGAATTTTTCTTTAGTACTTACCACCACCTGCAGAGGCCTTAACTTGACAGGTCTCCTTTCAAAAATGTTAGATTTTTATAAAAAACAGCAATGTTTGCTTAAAATAGGCCTTATCTTTTAATCTGTTTAATGTATGTAATTTGTTTTTGTATCGTCTTGAATATTTTAAAAATTTTTAACTGTTTATATCGACTAATATTTGTTTTTCAAATATTTTTTAACTTTTATAACTTTTAACATTGTTTTGTTTTACAATTTATTTCATCCCCCACGTTTTGATGAAACTTGTCTGTAGTATTCCCTAGTGGATGGAGAGTATGGTGAGTTTTTCTATTTTTTACTATTTTATATATTGTGGGCTCAAAGTCAACACACCTTACACCACATATTCTCCTTTCCACTAGGCGAGCCTGAAGATGAAGTGATGTTACTTCGAAACCGGTCGCACTCAATGTTTTTGTTGAATAATTAAACATTGGACTTTCCTTGTGAGATATAAAGGACTTTTTCTCCCCCCTTCACCTTAAAATATTTAAATATGATTAAAGACGACATTGTTCCTGTTTTGGCTAACTTATATCCAAATACACAAAAATCGGAGACTGCCAAATGAAAATGGTTTCAACAGGACAAAGCAACACCCTCTTAAGCTGCACATGTAAGATCTTATCTAAACGAAATATTAAAATAGATGAAATATTTTGTTATTTTGTATACAACTCCTAATAATATACAGTATCTATATATCAAAATTTAAGTGAATTTTTCAATATGTATAATACCAAAACTGCCCCAGTTAAGTCCAATAAATAGGGTATTATAAGAAAATAAATTATTTGTCCTTTAAAATATTTAGCTCTTCTCCCCACTTTCCCCACTTTAAAATTTTAAGGGTCTGATTATCCCCATCAAGGAGTTAAAGATGCGGGTTAAAAAATATGCTTCAAGTGTGTCCCTTTATAATCAAAAATCGACGTGTCCGAGCATTTGAGCACTAAATTTCAGGAAAACAGGAATGGTTGGGTGCCTAATTTTCGCCCTCAAGAGGGCGCTTAAATCGAAATTTAACAAAACAATATTGGTATTACTCAATTTATTATAAAATTACCTTTTTAAAAATGTGCCGCACTTAGTACTTTCCCTATCTAAATTCTAGGGGTTGTTCACCCCACTGCTCGGGTTAATGTGTTAGTGATGCAATTAGAAAAAAAAATTGACGTGTTTGAGCATTTTTTCTTCA